AACGAGTGCTTTACCACCTCTCTAAGAGGTTGGGCCGTTGTTTCTTCCCGTACAGGCGCCGTTCCTCTTTTTGCCTGGGATCAGAGGCGGTCTCAGGACAGGCCTCACCGGTCCGGTTACCGGGATAGGTCCAGACAGCAACCTCGGGCCAAACGATCCTTTTGTGGCAGGGGAGGTCGTCCATTCCATAGGTCAAAATGACTTGGGTCTGCCAGTGGGAGACCATGACCAGAGATGCTTGGATACTAAGCATCATCTGAGACGGTCTGTCTCCTCTCAAGACCTCTGCAACGTTTTGTACATTGCCCCCGGTTAAGAAATCCAGTAAGGAAAGGTCTCATGGACGATGCCATTCAGCACCTGTTAAGTATACGAGCCATAGAGAGGGTGCCAGAGAGTCAACTGAGACAAGGTTTTTACTCCATCCTCTTCATGGTTCCAAAGGCCTCGGGGGGTTCGAGGGTGATACTCGACCTCAAGGGTCTGAATTCATATCTTTCCCATCGCAAATTCAAAATGCAAATGCTATAGTCCATCCTGGCCAGCGTCCGATGGGGGGATTTCATGACATCAATAAATCTTATGGAGGTGTACCTCCACATCCCCATTCACCCCAGCCACTGTCAATTTCTCAGGTTCAGCTATTCCAACAACCACTATCAATACAGAGCCCTGCCATTCAGTCTCTCATCGGCTCCCAGGGTATTTACCAAGGTGCTGGCATTGCTCACCGCACATCTCACATTGGTACCGATACGTGTTCAATGTTATCTGGACGATATTCTGATTCAGTTGTCCTCCGCTCTGAACGCCCAAGCGGACTTGTCACTAACTATCAAGACACTTCAGGACCATGGCTTTTCGGTCAACTTTCAAAAGAGCCACCTGACCCTTTCAACTCGTCTCTTACACTTGGGCGTGGTAATCGACACAATCCTTTCTCAGATCTTTCTATCCCGGGAGCGTCAGGTCAGCATTCAGGACATGGTCTTCAAGGTCTGCAGGGATCTTGTAGTGATGCTGGCCATGCTTTCCCAACTTGTGAGGAAGATGATATCTTGCATTGCTATAGTGCCCTGAGCTAGACTACACTCAAGGTACCTTCAATGGTTCTTACTCCCGTTTCAAAGACTAGGCACGAGCTCCTCCAACAGAAAGTTTCGTCTTCTCAGACTCTAAGGTTGCTTCTGTGGTGGGCATCCTCGGCGCTAGCCAAGGGGTCACTGTTCAAGGAGCCCGTTCGGCTAATCCTAACCACAGATCCCAGATTGTTTGGCTGAGGGGCACATCTTCTATCCCAGTTGGGTCAGGGCCGATAGTTTCGGGTAGACCTGAAGTGCAGTATCAACTGGCTAGAACTCAGAGCTATTCATCTGGCCCACAGGTGGTGGGACGTCATGTGCTTGTCCTCACGGACAACGTGGCGGCAAAGGGGCATGTGAGCTGTCAGGGCGGCACTTTATCTTGGTTTCTCATGACTGAGGCCCAGTTGTTTGGGTCCTGGGCAGAACAGAATCTTCTATCTTTGAAGGCTGAACACATCTCCGGGGTCGCTAATCATCAGGAGGACTATCTCAGCCGCTCCATAGTGGATCATTCGGAGTGGAGTCTTCATCCGGATCTCTTCTGGGAGATATCACGACAGTTCGGTCATCCGGTCCTGGACTTGTTTGCTTCCCCGGCCAACGCTCAGGTCTCACAGTTTTTCTCTCGGTTCCCCTCTCCGGGGGTGGATGCTCTTCACAGCACGTGGCCAGGGGGTCTGCTTTATACCTTCCCTCCTCTTCCTCTGATCCCAGCAATCATAAGGAAACTACTGCAGGAGCGGGCAGAGGTATTATTTGTAGCCCCACACTGGCCAAGGTGATCGTGGTTCGCGGATCTCATGAGCGTGTCCGTGGTCCCTCCGTGGAGGATCCTCCCAGAGCAGATAATCCTTGTAACGGGGTCCTACAGCATCCGGAACCCCAGTGGCTACAGCTAACCGCCTGGCATCTGAATGCCGGTTCCTAGCAGAGGAATCCTATTCGTCAGGGTAATTTCAATGAATCAAGCATCACGCAGGCCGGCGACAAATTGTATTTACGACGCCACGTGGTGGAATTTTTGCCAACGGTGCAAAAAGAATCATCTGGCTATTTCGGATGTAACTATTCCACGATTATTAGATTATTTGTTAGAAGGCGTGGATAAAGGATTAGTGCCCAACACTATCCGCAGACAGGTGGCAGCTCTTTCCACGATGTTTATTTGTGACAACTCGAGCCCGTTGGCTCAGCATCCCACGGTCTGTTCCTTTATCAAGAGGGTCACGAATAGCAAGCCTCCTGTGGTGCATTGGTATCCCACTTGGGAATTACCACGGGTCCTACAAGCCATTGCCGAGTCACCCTTCGAACCCATCAACACCTGCAACCTACGATCCTTGTCTCTCAAGGTTGCTTTCTTGGTTGCGGTTACCTCGGCTAGGCGCATCTCGGAGCTAGCAGCTCTTTCAGTCAGAAAGGACTTATGCGTTTTTCATCGGGACAGAGTGGTCCTACGATTGGATCCCCAAGGTTAACACCATGTTTCACAGGGCACAGGAAATCGTGCTACCGGACTTTTGTCATCATCCATCTCATGCCTTGGAACGGCAATGGCATACTCTGGATATACATAGGGCATTACGCTGTTATGTTCGCAGATTGGAAGCCCTCTTTGTTTCCTTCCATCCTACCTCTAGGGGCCAGAAGATTTCTTCTACTATTGGCAGGTGGATCAAGGCCTGTATCTTGACAGAATATCAAGTACGTTCTTTGCCACTTCCAAGACATTTGACAGCACATTCCACACACAGTGCTGCTACCTCAGCTGCATGGTCTACACAAGCGTCCATAGACGATATTTGCAGGGCAGCGACTTGATCTTCGCCTTCCCCTTTGTGCGTCATTATAAAATTGATAAATTTGCTTCTGCGGAAGCTTCTTTGGCTGTAGGGTATTATAACAAATAGTGCCGGCGACATCGACACAGGCCCAGTCTGCTTCCCATCTATAGGGGATGAGGGGCTTTGGTAAGTCCCATTAGTGGATTCTCTATTCTGACATGCTGGAGAAGGGGCGTTGTCTTACCATGGAGAATCCACCCCCACCCTTTATTCGCAGTCAGGTCCAGTGTCAGGGATCTGGGAGCTGGTCATCAGCTTTGCCCTAATCGAAACTGGGGCGTCTCCTGCTCCAGGAGGGGCGTGGCAACTTGACTGATTTGGTCTAAATTGGGCAGCAGGACACAGTTAACCCATTAGTGGATTCTCCATTCCTCATGCTGAGAAAAGGCGTTCAGGTAAGACAACGCCCCTTCTATTGGTCAGAATTATGATAAGACAGGAAAATGTGGGTTAGATAGCATCACCGCCAGATGGATTCATAACTGGCTGACCGGCCGTACTCAACGTGTAGTCCTCAATGGAACTGCATCTACATGGAGGGAAATGTATAGTGGGGTGCCCCAGAGCTCTGTTCAGGGCCCAGTACTCTTCAACATCTTAATCAATGATTTGGATGACAGGACAGATGGGGAACTCATCAAATTTGCAGACGACACCAAGCTGGCAGGAATAGCCAACACTTCAGAAGTCAGGCTTAAGATACAGAAGGATCTTGACAGGCTTTAACATTGGGTGCTATTTAACAAAATGAAATTCAGTGGTGAAAAAAGTAAGGTTCTACATTTAGGCAAGAAAAAAACATGCACAGGTATAGTATAGGTGGTACCTTGCTCAATAGTAGTAACTGTGAGAGGAATCTCGGAGTCCTAGTTGACAATCATTTAAATATGAGCCAGCAGTGTGCTGCAGCTGCCAAAAAAGCCAACACAGTGCTAGGCTGCATTAACAGAGGGATAGAATCAAGATCACGTGAAGTATTAATACCTTGGTAAGGCCACACTTGGAATACTGCATCCAGTTTGGGTCACCATGATGTAAAAAAGCTGTTGAGACTCTAGAAAGAGTATAGAGAAGAGCAACAAAGATGATTAGGGGACTGGAGGCTAAAGCATATAAAGAACGGTTGCTGGAATTGGGTATGTCTAGTTTAATGAAGAGAAGGACGAGGGGTGACATGATAGCAGTGTTCCAATATCTCAGGGGTTGCCATAAAGAGAAGAGGGAATCAAGCTATTCTCAAAAGCACCTGAAGGCAGGACAAGAAGCAACGGATGGAAACTAACCAAAGAGAGAAGCAACCTAGAACTAAGGAGAAATTTCCTGACAGTTAGAACAATTAATCAGTGGAACAACCTGCCTCCAGAAGTGGTGAATGATCCAACACTGAAAGTTTTTAAGAAGAGACTGGACAGCCATTTGTCTGTAATGGTATAGAGTTTCCTGCCTGAGCAGGGGTTTGGACTAGATGACCTCCAAGGTCCCTTCCAACTTTATTATTATGATGATGTTTTTTCATTCCTGTACTCTTTAATGTTTCACACTTTTATAAGCCTAATATCAGATGTACATAATAGTGTAGTTCACACCTAATGTTAAAGAATATTGTAATATTTTAATCTGTGTTTTAATGAACAAGTCACAATGGCCTGGTTCATGCAGTACTAAGTCATTATAAGCAGGTTCATATATTGTACTAAATTAAATTGGAAATAGTATTACTAGTGTACCAGGTCAAGGCTTATTTGATAAGATTACCATAATGAATATTAAAGAAACATGTTGTGCAGTATGGTGATGCATCATGATGAAAATTATAAAACAAAAGCTATAAAACTGCCATTTATGAGAGAATGGAGTAATACAAAGAAATTGTCTGTTCTATCTGTTTTGTGAGAGACATCTTGGGACATTAACATGGGACACAAATAAATGATCTCTGCTTAATTTCTAGATGTTACTACTTTTAGATATGCTTGTTTGTGTGAATGAGACTATTTCTTATATGATTAGGACAAGATCAACTTTAAAATAAATCCCATTTTATCTATTTGGAGTCTTCTCTTTGCCTTAGGTGAGAAGCTACGTGTATTGGGTTACAATCAAAATGGTGAATGGAGTGAAGTACGCTCCAAGAATGGACAAGGATGGGTGCCAAGTAACTACATCACTCCAGTAAACAGCCTGGAGAAGCATTCCTGGTATCATGGACCAGTATCACGCAGTGCAGCTGAATATCTGTTGAGCAGCCTCATTAATGGCAGCTTCCTTGTTCGAGAAAGTGAGAGCAGCCCAGGACAGCTGTCAATCTCGCTCAGGTACGAGGGACGTGTTTACCACTACAGGATCAATACCACCACAGATGGCAAGGTAAATCTGTTCTGAGAAACTTTTTTTTTTGTATAAATACAATACATCTGTATGTATAGAACGTCTGGGCCAAAGAAATCTTAAATACATTCTGTAATTCCATCTACCTTTGTAAGAATAAGTGCCTTCCTAGCAAGGGGTGTTCTTCTGGTTTTGTGTTGCATGAGCAAGTTGATTAGCCACTGATCAAACATCAAGACAGCACTGAGATAATAGGTTCTGTTTTCTATTCTCTTCATAGCAGCCTCATTCCCCTCTGCATTATTTTGCAGAAATTGTAGAAATTCATTTTGGGAGACTAACTCTCTATTAGTTAAATCTTTATAATTAGTGTGTTGTGATACTGAGCCATGAGAAAGTTATTCTTGTAGTAATTCAGTTAAATTCGATGTGACAGGTTTACAGTAAAGCAGGTTGGTTCTATTAATCTTGTTTTTATTTTGAAACATTGAAAATTTTATGTATCCCCTGATCATTCTGGGTGAAAAATAAAAAGCAAGGAAATTCTTATTTGTAGTGGGTCCATTTCTTGAAAAATAAAGGTTTTGGTCCTAATTCTTTAGATAAATCTCTTGGAGATATTACGCAGTCAGTTGCTAGGCATATTATGAAGAGGGACTAATATTGCTCTAATAATCAAGTTGAAAATAACCAAAAGGAAGTAAGATCAAATAGTCACATATTATTCCAGAAAATGATTTCCCAGTTGCTTTCTGGACAAACTACTTGGTCATCAGAAGGCCAAAGTATCTGGAGCAAATCCCAGAACTGTCCAAGCAGAAAATACAGAAGAAGCAAAGTCTAAGGTGACAGTACAGGTAGTCCTCAACTTACAACCATTCATTCAAGCTGTTTTAAGTTACAGTAGTATTGAAAAATATGGACTTATGACTTTCAGCCATTATAGCAGCTGCACGGTTACATGATCAAAATTTGGATGTTGGCCACCTGCCCACACTTAAGACCATAGGTACTGTATGCTGCAACTCCCCCATCTGCCTATCTCTTCCCCCCTCCTGCATTTTTTTGGGAGTATTGCACATACCTCTTCTGCCCCCTGCCACTGCTGCCCCCAGTTGACTGTCATTGTCTTCTTCCTCCTCCTGCTTTCCCAGGATCCAGGCTCTGGGAAAATATGCAGCCCTGGGAGGCGTGTGGTGAGTGCAGCAGGACAGCAGAGCTTCATCTGCCAAAGAGAGCTAATCAGGCCTGGCTGAAGAGGAAGCAGCAGGGCAGTGAGGCATGATGCTGTAGGTCACCAGATAAGGCAGGAATGCAGGCATCAGTTTCCTGAGCAAAGGTGGAGAGTGTGAGGAAGCGACTGTTTGTGGTGGCAGTACAACTGAAGGAAGGAGAGGGGTGTAGGGCTCCCAGAGGCACAGCATACCCTCTGCAGCTTGTGTTGAAAGGGCTCCTGGAAAACTAGTCTGTGGTCTTCAGCGAGGGATGGAAGCAAGCTCAACTCACAAATCCTTTGCTCGGTCTCAGCCCAACCTTCCTCCTGCAAATCTCACGAATGGCCAGCAGCTTCCAACATGAGCTGCAGGGTGTGTATCAAAAGCACTCCTTGAGAACTGGCCTGCAGGCCTCAGTGCATTGGAAGCTACTGGCTATTTGTGAGGCTTTGCATGAAGAAGGCTGGGCCAAGAGTGAGTTGAGAGCTTGCAAGTAGGCTCTGCCCATGCTGGAGTTTTCTCTATCCTTCTCTGAAGGCTGGTTTTCCAGAAGACCTTTTCTGCACTGCGAGAATGACTATCTCTAAATACTCAGAATATTTCATAAGGCTTTGTTTTGCTTTCATAAACTTTTGATTGTTTTGATTCAGAAGAATGGTTTGGAGAGAAGAGGAATTTTTTTTCTCTCTTGCTTAGGTTTTTATGCCCCATGTTAACCAGTTTATATAAGGTCTTCATTTCCTCTTTAACAGGTATATGTGACAGCTGAAAGTCGCTTTAACACATTGGCAGAACTAGTTCACCACCACTCAACGGTAGCTGATGGCCTCGTAACAACTTTGCACTACCCAGCACCCAAGTGCAATAAGCCCACAGTCTATGGAGTGTCACCCATCCATGACAAATGGGAGATGGAACGAACAGATATCACCATGAAGCACAAACTCGGTGGAGGACAGTATGGTGAAGTGTATGTTGGGGTATGGAAGAAATATAACCTTACAGTTGCAGTGAAAACACTCAAGGTATGATTGCAATCTTGAGAGCATTGTGTTATTGAAATGCATCTGAAGTGTACATTACTAGGCCTAGAGTACTTGTCTGCCTGCTGATGCATCAGAGGTTTGTAGCTACAAAAGACAAATCTTGTGAACTTGGGTTGTTTAGTACTGGCAGTTTTTTAAATGATATTCCTGAGCTTAAAATCATTCATTAAGAGATTGTTTAAAGTTACAGTAATGCAGAAAAAAGTGACTTGCAACGAGTCCTTGCACAACATACCTGTGGTCACATGATTGTGATTCAGGGGTTTGGCAATCAACGTGTGGTGATTACAGTATCTTGGCCTCACGTGACCACCATTTGCAGCCTTCCCAGCCAATTCCAACAAGCAAAATCAGTGGGGGAAACCAGATTTGCTTAACAGTAGTGGTGATTTGCTTAACAACCAGGGTAAATACATTATAAAATTGGGCACAATTCACTTAACAACCACATTGCTTAATGATGGAAGTTCCAGACCCATTTCGGTCTTAAGTCAAGGACTACCTGTACAAATAGAGATGCTCTCCCTCCGTGTATTTAGGAGATAGTATCTATAAAAATTGGCTGACATTTTCCTTCTTTCAAATTCTTGGTTAAGGCAACCACTGTGCATATACATATACTGTATACAAAACATACTATCAGAAACATGTATCCTGCATCTCAGTTTTGCTATAGTGCTTTGTTTTTTATCAGGTGTCTTATGTTGCTACAGCTCACAGGCTTATTCAGAGTATATATGTGTAAAAACCCTTTCCTGCAGAGATTAACCTTCCAAAAGATGTACTTTCAATTGGAAAGGTGTTCCATCATTTGCTTGAGGTACTATTGATCCATTTGGAAAAGCTCAGATGTTCATGACTAAAATATTATTTTCTGAAATATTTAATGTAAATTAAGGGATGATGTACTTGCAAATACCTGTTTTGTGAGCAGATACAGAGAGCACTGGCTGGTCACTTCTGCAAATATAATGCAACCAGTAGATAGACCTTTTTGGATTTAGAAAGATTCAGAAAGTCATGATTGCAGAAGTGTTGATCTCCTGAATGTGATCTTTCCACTGTATGCTCCTACCTTCCTGTTATTATGGTTGGGTTGAGAACCAGGAAAATAAGAGCTGGGAAATTGGATATGTATCTTGGTCTGTCATTTGCCCCCCTTGTAATAAGGCTTCTGCTCCCAAAGTTTTGTGAAAATTAATTGCAGTTATTAAGAGGAGTCGTGTCTTAAACTTCCAGGAGGATACTATGGAGGTAGAGGAATTTTTGAAAGAAGCTTCTGTTATGAAGGAAATCAAGCATCCAAATCTAGTACAATTATTAGGTGAGTGTACAAATCTGATCACACAGTTCTTTTTGTATTAAATATATATTTGTTGCATTCCAACTGCAACTAAATATGGAAAGCTTTCCTCTGATGAAATTGTGTTTGCTGATCTTGCTCATTAAGCATGAGAATTTTGTCTCCAACTTTCCACACAGTTGATATTCTATTAGAAATGACTACATCTGCTTAAAGTAAATTGCATCCTACCGCAAACTGTGCAGTTTTTGTGTCCTATATTTTATGTGAATGAATGAGTGAGTGAGTGAGTGAGTGAATGAATGAATCTGTGTTTGTGGGTTTTCCCCAATCTATAGACTTGTGCACATGTTGTGTTTAAAGCATTGCAGAGGTGGAATTGGCAGTCAAGGCCCCCTTCTTGTTATTTTTCAAGCTTGAAATTCATCTCTTAGTCTTCAAAAGCCTAAAAGAAATGGTTTTTTAAAAGTAGATTCAGAACCATGGCTAAAGCAAGCAAAACTACAAGCTTCAACCAGTTGTAACTCTCATTCCCAACCAAAAATTTAGTGTAGTCTTTGTCTCTGATCTCAATAAATGATCTCTTTGATTGCAATATATATTTCCATTTTTCTTAATAGCTATATTATTATGGTGTTCAGATTATAGAATAATCTTGCTAATGGAGAAGCAGCAATTCATGTGTATCAGAGTTGGGCCACCTGTTATCTACATTACATTTTTGCTAATAAATTTGTCATTGAAATAAAGCAGTATGGTTTGTTGCTTGATTTTGGTGACAGATTTTTCTAAATACCTGTCTTGCAATTTTGTTTTATTTTGTCTTGTTTTATTTTGTTTCTAATAACTAAGCAGTAAGTTATGGAGGAGAGATTGCTGTCACCAGAAATTGAAAATGAACTCTTTAAGTAGTTTTTTTGAAATTAAACTGAGGACCATATGTAATTACAGGTAGTAATTACTTACAGGTAGTAATTACTGTAATTAATTACAGGTAGTCTTTACTTAGCACCCATTTGTCCAGCGACTATTCAAAGTTACAATGGTGTTAAAGATGAACTTATTACGGATCCTCAAAGTTATGACCATTTCATTGCTCCACAGTCATGTGATAGAGATTTGGGCCTGCTTCATTTATGACCCCCTTCCCACCCCACCACATATTGCTGATCTCTCTGTCTTCCTTTTTGGTATGATTGTTATGTTCTTGCTATGCCACAGTGCTGTGACTTTTCACTACATTGCAGCAATGAGGCTTCACAATGCGGTGCTGGGGTTTTGAGGGTACTGCTAATAATCTCCCCCCCCCAGTGTTTCCTTTGCTTGTGAAAATACTATTGTGTCAAAATTATCTGTGTAGAAATCTTTGTAGTATTGCGAAAGAATTTTTTTTTTAAATCATTAAAAATGGATTTCTTTAATTGTGAGAAACAAATCTTTCCTCTATATTTTAATGTTGAATGCAGTGCTACCAGTTTTGACAATTACTGATTAGATTTTATTGCAAAATTGTAAGTACATAAGGATTTACCAGCTCTCCTATGTTTTTCAGGTGTATGTACCCTAGAACCCCCTTTTTATATAATAACCGAATATATGCCCTATGGGAACCTGCTGGACTACCTACGAGAGTGCAATCGGGAAGAAGTGACTGCTGTTGTCTTGCTGTACATGGCTACCCAAATATCTTCTGCGATGGAGTACTTGGAGAAGAAAAATTTCATTCATAGGTCAGCAGAAAACCTTGACATTCTGTAAAGTAGGAATGTAAGAAGAATGTAAGAATGTCTCTATGAATTGCAGTGCATTATCTTTTTTTTTTTATTGAAAAATTTTAAAAAACTTTTACAAAGACAGAAAAAAAAACAATAACAACAACAACAACAAAAAACAAAACAAAACAATACAACCCTCCCCCAACCCCTCCCAAACCACCCCCCTCCCCCCGGAGCTTCCCAGAGCAGAATATAGGCTTAATTAAAAAAAAAAAAAATTAACAAAATTATAAAATAATTAAAAATAAAATATATATGAAAAAGTTATAATCCTTAAAAAAAGAAAATATTTAAAATAGAAAAATACAGGTTATAAAAAAGCTAAATGATATTTTTTCAAATCCAGTTTAAATTGTATGAAATTTATCCATTTTTCCCATACATCAAAAAATTTCTCTTGCGTTTGCTCTTTTAAAAAAGCCGAAATCTTTGCCATTTCCGCCAAGTAAGATACTTTAAAAAACCACTCTTGCAAAGTAGGCAAAGATTCCTTCTTCCAGTATTGACCTACTAAAAGCCTTGCGGCTGTAATCAAATTCAACATCAATATAATCTCCTTAGCATCACAATCAGTAACAATGCCAAGCAAAAACAATTGTGGAGTAAATTTTACCCTCTTTCTAAAAATTCTCTGAATATTCCACCATATCTTAATCCAAAAGGCTTTTATATTTTTACACGACCACCAAATATGATAATAAGTGGCATCCAGGCAGCCACATCTCCAACATTTGGGCTGTAAGTCAGGATACATGAAAGACATCTTTTGTGGATCAAGGTGCCATCTGTAAAACATTTTATAAAAATTCTCCCTTAAATTCTGAGCTTGTGTAAACTTAACATTTCTCACCCAGATAGTTTCCCAGGTATCCAGTAGAACTGGTTCACCAAAATTCTGCGCCCATTTAATCATACAATCTTTAATTAATTCTGATTCTGAATCCAGTTCCACTAGCACCCCATAAATTCTCTTAATGTGAGTTTGTCTTTGATCCTTTACCTGCTTAAAAAGATTTTCATCTTCTCTAAGCAAGCCTATATTACGATCCATCTTCCATCTATCTACTAATTGTCTATATTGAAACCAAGAATAGGTAATATTTTCATGTACTAGGTCTTCCAAGGATTTTAACTGCCAATTTTGACCATCCCATCTAAGTAATTGTGTATAAGACACCGTATCCATTTTAACACCTCTCTTTATCCCCTCTATCGCATGCCAAGGTATAGCCCATAATGGTATTTTAAAATCACTTTTATAATATTTCCTCCAAACCCTAAGTAAAGAAATCCTTATAATATGAGATTTGAAGGCCCAATCCACTTTTTTATTAAATAATAAATAGGCATGCCAACCAAAAAGTAAATCCCATCCCTCCAAGTGGAGTATCTCTGAATTTGTTAAATTTACCCAATCACTAATTAATGTTAAGACCACAGCGTCATAATATAATTTCAAATTCGGTACCTTGAGTCCACCTCTCTCACGGAAGTCCTGCATAATTTTAAACTTTACCCTTGGTTTTTTCCCTGCCCAAATAAATTTATTAATGCCTTTCTGCCATTCGTTTAAATTAACCTCATTCTTTAAAATAGGTAACATTTGAAATAAAAAGAGAAATCTTGGCAGGACATTCATTTTAATCACTGCAATTCTTCCCATGAGAGATAGCTGTAAGTTCTCCCAATTTTTCAAGTCTTTTTGTATCCTGACCCACAACCTTTCATAGTTATTCTTAAACAATTTTACATTAGAAACAGATAAAATAACCCCCAGATATTTTATCTTATCAACAATTTCAAAACCAGTCAAATTAACCAAAATCTGTTTATCACAAGTAGTCATATTTTTAGATAATATTTTAGTCTTATTATTATTAATTTTGAAACCCGAAACTAATCCATATTGATATATCAGCTGTAGTAACTTTACTACAGAATAAGTAGGTTGAGACAAAGTAACAACCAAGTCATCTGCAAAAGCTCTTAACTTATATTCTTTTTTGTTAACTTCTATGCCTCTTATTTCCTGCGACTCTCGAATTTTAATCAACAAAATTTCCAATGTTAAAACAAACAGCAACGGTGACAAAGGACATCCCTGTCTAGTACCTTTTTCTATTATAAAAACCTCTGACAAACCCCCATTAACAATAAGTTGTGCCGTTTGTTTTTGATATATAGCAGTAAGAGCTTGTAATATTTTTTCTCCAAAATTCATCTCCTCAATTGCTCTTAACATAAAATGCCAATTCAGTTGATCAAAAGCTTTTTCAGCATCTAAAAATATCAGCCCTGCAGGGACTTGGTTGTTCTTATCTAAATATTCTAATATATTAATAATTTGTCTAACATTATTTTTTATGTACTTGCCAGTTATAAAACCCGATTGGTCCTTATGTATAAGCTGATGCACAACCGTCATAAGCCTATTAGCTAAAATTTTTGCAAAGATCTTATAATCTACATTTAAAAGAGATACAGGTCTATAATTCTTTGGTAAAGTAAGATCTTGGTCCTCTTTTGGAATCAAGGATATAAAAGCACTGCGCCATGACGGAGGGATCTCTGAACCCTGCAATATATTGTTAAAAAGCTCACCTAAAGGTTGAATCATCTCTTCTACTAAAGTTTTATAATAAATAGGTGTCAAACCATCCGTACCTGGCGCTTTGCCTAGTTTTAATTGCTTAATAACTGTCACAATCTCCTCATTAGTAATTGGACAATTAATTTCTTGCTTCTGATCTTCTGTCAATTTAGGAAAGTTATCCTCCCTTAAATATTTGTTTATATCTAAAATTTGTACATTAGTAGTCTTATATAATTTTTGATAATAATCTAAAAAAGATTTCTTAATCAATTCCTTCTGATACACTAATTTACCATTATAATTTATTTTATCTATTGTTCTCTGTCTCTGTTTCTTTCTTAATTGATAGGCCAACCATCTCCCTGGTTTATTGGCATTACAAAATGTATTTTGTTTCATAAACAAAAGATTAGTATGGTGTAGCTTTAAGTTGTTGTTGTACAGTTAGAGTTGTAGGAGAGGAAACCACCTTAGAAAGTATAGAGGCCGGTTGTCTCTTTGAAGCCATTTTTCAAAAAGTTATTCTCTCTCTCTTTCCTCTTAAAAAGAAAAAGGAAAACGAAAAAAAAGTACAAAAATTCTTAAAGTTTAAAAAAAAAAACCAGAAAAGGTGCTCAAAACACGATACAGGAGAGAATTAAAAGCAATAAATGTATTCATTTAAGTCCATATTTTCTTTCCGGAAAAAAAAAGTAAAGAACAAAAGAACAAAGTACTTTCAAAGCGCCATCTTACTTTCACTCTCTGTGCCGAGAAAAAAGAAACAAGAGAAAAGAATCAAAGTCAACTAGAAAAAAGTTAAAATAAAATACTAAACTAAAAAAGAAATCCTTTAAACTGCTCTGTCCGCTTTAAATATTACTCACCAGAACACCTTAAACGCGGAGATGGTAGCGGTGTTTCCTTTTGTCTCCGAAGAGACAAAAACAGCTGGGAGGCGGAGAAAGCAGGAACTCCGAGGGAACGCTCCTTCTGCCCCCTCAAAAGAAAAATCCAGAGGGGACTAAGAGGTTCTACCTCTATTCTTGCAATCTCTATCCCTTCCCTTCGCCCGGGAAAGGATTTCCGAACCGCGGGCCAGCTGATGTTCGCTGCGCTCCGCAGATCTGACGCAGTCCCAGGAGGACGGCTACAAAGTAGCCACCATCAACGCCGCTCCCCAGCGGAAGCTCTCGAATTGCAGTGCATTATCTTAAGGGTGAAGGTGTAATAGGATTTGATTGATCAGACTTATTCCAAGCTAATTTGAATTGAAGGAAATCTCAGGGATCTCGCCCTAGTTTTATAATTTATTTTAATTTGAGGACAAATAGCAAGTTTCTTTCCCATGGCTTTTGAAAAAAGCTTGATAACATAATGTATTATACATTTGAAAGCTCAGAAACCTATGTATATGTTTTGCCCCCAAATGTGTCTCATTTTGGCTATAAAGTAAAGGTTTCCCTTGTGCATTTGTTTCTAGGGGGCAGTGCTCATATCCGTTTCTTAGCTGAGGGAGCCAGTGTTGTCCAAAGATGTTTTCATGGTTACAATAGATTGATCAAATGGTGATCTGACAATTATTATACCAGGGGACCTGTTGGCTTAACATAGGCTAGCTTTTACATTCCCATCAGACAAATACAAGTTTTCGAACAACAGCACCAAGTTTCAGTTCACGGCAATATCGTTTGAATCAGGTATTGGAATCAGCTCACTATCTCTTCATTAAAATAATGACTACACCTGTTGGCCCTTCTACAGGTGGAGTGCTTATGTGTGTGTGTACATACGTATGTATATACATATACACACACATACATATACACACACATTTATTTAAACACTATCCTGATTGCAATCCAATATATGGCAAGCAGGACATTTACAGGAACAGCTTTATGGTTAAGCAAATCAAAAGCTCAGTTTAACATTGCCAACCAATGCTATATTTAAGGATCATGAAAGATGGGGCATAAAAATAGGCTTTCTCCAGCAGGATGGCTGTAGAGTCCAATGAATGGGTTCTATGACAGCCTTCCTGCCCGGCAGACTGGGTAAAAACTTTGGCCACACCCTTCCTCTGGGTGTGACCCCAGTTTTGACTCAGTCTCGAAGCCCGGTAGCAGTGCGAGAATCAGCTCTTGAAAGATTCCATCCTGGAAAAGACAAATTCTCCCTCTTCCTAGATTCCCTAAATTGGCAGATAGAAAATCTCTCTAGCAGCTGGCTCGGGGTTCCGAGCCATTGCCGGATCTCCATCCACCGGAGGATCGTCGGAGCGGTGAGCGTATCCCCAGGGTCCAGGGCGGCTAGCCAGGGGGTTCGGGTTGCTCACCGGATCGCTCGCCGATCTCCAGCACGCTAATCAGCTGATCGGCAC